TGTAAGAGTTGCTGTCCCATGGTGTCTCTTCAGAGCAATAGAAACCCTAACTAAGACACTGCCTGTGTATGGATGTGTGCATACCTGCCCCCTTTCCCATTCCATACCTAGAAATGACCACAAACTCCCCGAGGACACAGCATTGCATTCTTAAGATTTGAGCTCACACCTGGCGTACAGTAGGTACTGGTTGCATGGACTTTTAAATAAACAGTAGAATCCCCATGCAGTATCAGGAAGATATCCTGTCTGATAGCTGAGCTTTCGGGAATGCTGTTAAAATAAAATAGCACTAAACTTGACTCTTTATAGTGGAATGGTGGACTTGACCAGAATTTTTCAGTGTCTGTGATATGGACTGCAATGGTTACGACTATCATGTTTCCATCATATTCCTGTTACTGGGAGCCAGGGGGTGCCCTCTTATGTCTGTTCATGGTAACACTAGTCTAGTCCTTTTGTGTGTTGTGGGGGAACTGCTGATGATATTGCTTTAAGTTCTGAGTATCCATCCAACTATTGGTTGAAAAGATTCAAAAGAAGAATATTTGTGCCTGTAGTGAAGACATAGTTTTTTCTTTTTATATTAAAAACACAATATAATGGGCACAGAGAGATGGCTCAGCAGTTAAAAGTATTTAATGCTCTTGCAGAGGACTTGGGTTTGGTTCCCAGCACCCACGTGGCAGCTCACAACTGCCTGTAAATTTAGTTCCAGGGGACCTGATACCCTCTTCTAGCCTCTGTTGGCAACAGGCGCTCACATGCTGCACATACATACATGCAGGTAAAACATTCATACACATAAAATAAGTAAAAAATTTAAAAATATAACAGAACATCTATTAACAAACACATTGCATTAGGAATCACACACATTCTAGCAACGAGTTCAAGTGTTCAGACGGATGGGCAACGTGTCAACACTGCCCTCTTCTGGGAGAAGCTAGAGTTTGGTGTTGAGGGGTTCTGGGACAAACGACTTCTTTGTAAAATTCAACTTTGTTTCTTAACGTCATCCTTTTGCTTTCAAGGCTCTACTAATCTCAAAGGGTCAATTTGAAGGTTTGCTTTTCCCTTAGACCCAGCTGTGATGCTTGAGCAGGTGAAAAAATATTTAATCAAAAGGTTCTTGCACTAAAGACCAGCTGCTATGGCAAAGCGATTTGGCCCTGGGATTAAATGGAGAAAGTGGGAGACACTGTAGACACTTTGCCTATGTCTGTGTTTGTTTTCCGGGGCTGGGAGTTAAACACAGGGTGACTTAGGAATGCTGGGAAAGTGCTCTACCACTGAACTACACCCCCAACTCTAGGCCTGTGTCTGTCTTCTGAGTTTAAGCCATTTATCTATCAGTAAACCTGTGCTTTCAAGAACTCCAGATCCACCGGGCTACTCTGAGATCAAGGTAGTTGCACTCTTGAGCCCCAACATACTGCAGCTGCTGACTGCTTCCAGACCGGTCAGCTGTGAAGGCCAGAACACTGGGACGTCCTCGGGCTCACATTCCACATAATTCCCATAGTCAGGTTTGGAAAGTGCCTTGATTCCCAAAAGTTCTGCATATGGAAAAAGAAAACAGTATTCCTCTGGTCAGTACCATACACATGGGTGCACTGGGTACATTATAGATCTCCCTCCCAAAGAAACGGTAGTTGTAGATTATCTTAGATGGACAGGAGGGAAAGGAGGAGGAGGTAGTGATGGCCAGGGGCTGGAGTTTTAACACATAAGCATGTCCTGTAACTTAGGGCCCATGTAACTGGTACAATCAGGCTGACATCTCAAATTGCACGGTGTGGTTTCTGGAGGGAGTCTATGGTGTGTCTAGCTCAATGCTGGCCTTGTAGCACAGATTCCTAACAAAGCCAGTATTGTGTGTCATCTTGATGCAACTGATTCAGTTTCACAGCTGTAACCTCTGTTATCACTACCAGTAGCACTAGCCTGGCTAGCGGTCATCGACATGGAGACAACCAAGATGGGTGTGTCAGGCCATTTACCCACATTAGGAAGACAAGTCAGTAGACATGCTCTGGGTGGCCCCGAGGCTGTTTTAGGGTGAGGAAGGCCAATAGTGCTGATAGTATATTCATAGACTGTCAGGTCTTTGATTCTGTTGACTACAAACCTGGGCACGTTCAAGTACACAGACCCTGGCTCTCACCCAGTCCAACCCCAAGCTCCCTTCAGGCCCTCTGGGAACTCCAAGAGGCCTGGGCAGCATCCAGACTTTTGACCTTCACCCTTGGATCTATTCATTCACTCTCAGGCTAAGGACTCATGGCTTTTCAATCCAAATGTAAGTTTGAGTTTTATTAATGTTGTCGTGTGTGTGTGTGTGTGTGTGTGTGTGTGTGTGTGTGTGCTATCGTGAGCCACACACGTACCATAACATGCATGTAGAGGTCAGAGGACAACTTGAAACAAAGAGTCCCATGAACATGATCCAGGGATTATGCAAAGCTCACAGGAGTTTTAGGGGCATCACAAACCCTCAAGATGAAGCTTGTTGGTCTAGCAAGGTGGTGCTGTCTTAAACCAGAGGTCACCTGGTGTGGACTTCTGGGCCTCACCACAGGTCCTCACCCCTGAGACTCCCCGAAGAACAGCATAAGCTCCTAGATGCTTCTCAGGCCCATGTTGGAATCACAGCTTGTGGTCACTGACCTGGGTCTCCAATGTGGATGGGCTGTCCTTGCTGTCCTCCCAGGGAGTGAGTGACCTGCAATAGCCTTTCCAGCTTGTCCTTGGGAATGGGTCTCATTGTGGCCACCAGAGGGCAGCAGAAGCCAGCAATGGCGGCACATGGCACTGTTGTCTGACAAATGAAGTGAAACATAGGGGGAAAAAAAGGAATTAACACAGATTCAAGCCCCAGTACTCACAGCTCAAGAAGCTTCTAGAAGCAAGAGGCTCCAGCAGCTGCTGTAGAAACACGACTCCTAATTTGAGGAGTTACAGGTGGGGCACTTGGTCGATAACAAATAAATCAAAACGGGGATGGGAGACTCTTAATTTTTTTAATCCTGGGGAGACTCTTAATTTTTTTAATCTTGTTAACATTTGACACATCTTCTAAGCTGGACAGAGTAATATTTAACCACAGAAAAGAAAATTCATGGGTGCCATGTATCTATATTCCCAGCACTTGGGGGAGCTAAGGCAGGAGAATGGAGAGTCTGAGCCTTGACTATGCAGGGAGTTAGCCTAGGTTACACAGTGAAAGCCTGCCTTAAAACATAAACACATGCTGAGGGGCAAAGAGGCGAGGGGAAGAGAAGAGAATTCAGTATCCCAAAGGAAACCAATACTATCTCAAACATTCAAATGTAGTTACCGGAGCGTTCCACGGGGAAAACAGCATGCTCTCCCATGGACGGCTAAGAGGACAGAATGGCAGATCTACCACCATTGTCATTTTGGAGCATCAGTGTATAGGGTGTCTTTGAGAGTCTGAGAACTGTATGGTGATATGAAGCTATCTGTGAAATACTTTATCAGCTGCAATGCTACAGAATCTGTTGATCCAACAGCCCTTTGTCACCAATATTCAGAACTGAAGGAAACGCTAAGTTTCAGCTCTGTCTCTGTCTCTCTCTGTCATCTCTCTGTCTATCTCTCTCTCTGTTTAACACACAGCCACACACACACACACACACACACACACACACACACACACTCACACACACTCTCTCACACACACTCACACATACATCCAATCTCACAGGCCTCTGAGGCAAAAGGGAGCAGATAACCCCATGTTCCACTTCTGGATTCCACAGGGGAGGCGCCTGTCCCTGGATGCCCCAGGTCTCCCTTCGTAGAGTCTGCACAGGGTGACCTGTGTGGCTTTCACTTGTGGCACATTCTCCCTCCCTCCTCCTGCAGTGGGGCTTATGTCAGGGTTAGGCCACAGCTAGGATCATGATCCACTAGGACAACCTTGGCTGCCACTTAACTGGCTTGCTGTTACCACCCTGGCAACAGCAGGATGAAATTCTGGTGTGCTGCCAACCTGGTGTCTGTATGACAGCACCCGGGACAGAGAAGGGACACATGTAGGCCACTTGCAAAGCCAGGCAGTGCTCCTGGGGGCTGAGATGCCTCTGACTGGGTCATCACTCTAACTCAAGATGGCTGTACAGCCACCTCTCTTGGGTTCTAAGGGTGGTGGGGTGGGGTTGCTACAGACTGAAAGCTGTATGGTATCCATGGGGAGAGGGGACAGTGAGCTGTCATGGATAAATGACAGGCTGTGGTTGACATCTCCTGTGGACACCTGTGCCTCTGTGGAAAGTTTCATTCAGTCACCAAACCAGCCAGGAGTTCAGATGTTCCAGATGGTTCTGGGACTTGGGGAAGTCCCTTTAGGCCTTATTTTCTTCATTTCGAATGAGGGGCTGTGCTGATGAGTCTGAGGCTATCCCAGTTCTAACGTCTACTGACAATAGTGGGTTCCAGCCAGTGGCCAGGGCTCTATCCTCACCCCTTGCTATTGTCCCTTGAAGGGCAGTGACAAATATGGACAATCTTGTTTCTGACCTGATGCAATCCAGGTCTTTCTGACAGGAGCCAAAGGGGACCCTGCAACAAACAGTGCTCAAGATGAAATGTCTAGTCACTGTGAGCAGGGATGCCTGGAGGCTGGGCATTCTCACAGGGAGGCCTGGAGGCTGGTCATTTGCACAGGGCCCTGGGGGCTGGGCATTTGCACAGGGCCCAGGAAGCCAGTGATCTGGAGTGTGAGTGCTCAGACTTGTGCTAGCACCACCAGGGAGGGAAACAGCAGACAAGCACTGCTTTTTCCCCACTTGACCGATGTCAGCAGGAAGAAGCACTGATCACCTCAGCCATGGACAGTCCCTAACAGTAGTCCTGTCCCAGGAGAGGCCACCTTTCTGTCTTTGTTAATCTTCAGTGCCCACATTAAAACTGGGCACGGTGACACCTTGTGCTTGTAGTTCTAGCACTGGTGAGATGGAGACAAGAGCATCTCTAGGGCTCTCTGTCCACCAGCCTAGCCTTAAACAGTGAACCCCAGGTCTCGTAAGAGACCTTGTCTCAAAAACCAAGGTGGGGGTCAGTGAAGTGATTCAGCAGGTAAGGTGCCAGTCACCAGGCCTGGTGATTCGAGTTTGGTTCCCAAGACCCACATGGAGGAAGGAAAGAATTGGTTTCCTTAAGTTGTCCTCCAATCTCCAATCTCCACACGTGCATTGCACAATCTACATCAGTCCCTTCTCCAAATACGTGTAATTTAACAGGAAACAAGGCATACTGACCTTGAAAAACACTGGTTGACCTCTGGCCTGAACACACACACACACACACACACACACACACACACACACACACACTCCAAATGGCTTTGATTGACTCAGCTGTAACAACTGCTCATAGGGGCTACACTGGATGGTACAGCTGTATTAGAGGTCGGAGGGAGAGAGGCTGGCTTGGAGGCTAATGACTTTACCTGGGAGAGCAGGGGCTGACCTTAGGGTTTCTGCTTCCTGTACCAATGTTCTCTCCACCATAGGAAATGACAACTCCATCCACATTTTTAAGCCGTTCTGCCCAGGGGTGTGGCCTTACCTTGTATGCGCCTGCGTGGCTGGGACCTGCTGGGTCTCTTCTGGAGATCCCTGCCTGCTCCAAGGCCTCTTCTATGGAGAAGCTGCAGTCTATGGTGAAGATCACCATGTCCTCCAGCTGCTCTGAGTACTCTTCCAGTGAGGCCAGGATGCCCGTGAGAGCACCAAACTCGTATTTCTGAAACTGTGGACAGATGGCCCTGGGGACACAAAGCAATGTTCACAGGCTCCTGGCTTTCAGTATGGTCCCTCCAATAATGCACTTTAAAAAAGGGCTGTGGAGGGGATAGCTGAAGCTGACACTTGGTTTCCGCCTATGGGCTTGGCTGTGTTCCCGAAGCATGACCAAACCATAGCTACTGAATCTGCCTGTGTATAATACAACTCGTGGCTCACTCAATCTCCTGAACCTCAACATGAGATCAGTCAGACCCACAAGAATAAAACACGGTGGACTTTCTGCCATGGAGGGATGCTGGCAGGTCCTGACAGAGCCTGGTGGCCTCAAGGAACCTCTCAGAGTTCACAGGTCAGAGTTCATAGGGCAAGGCCTCCTTTCTCCATAGGGGAACTCTCTTGTGAGGTTGAAAGCACACATGCTAAAGTCTCACCTCTGCTTACCCCAGATCAGTTATTGAGCCCTTCCTCCTTTCCATTCATGTGTCGGGGTGGGAGGGGTGGCAGGGATGGGGGTGGGGTGGAGTTGTAGGGATGGTCAGGCTGTGACTCCACCTTCAGACACCTGCTACATGAAGTAGCAAGTGTCTAGAGAGTGGAGAGGCATGGGACAACGAGAAGCTTTCCTCTTCTACTATGCTAGTCTGGTTCTTGAGTGTCACCCAGAAGTCCATAGACTGAATGCAGGATCCCAGCTTGTGGTGCTAGTCACAGGTATGGACCTTTAGAAGGTGGGGACTAGTAAGAGGAGGTTAAGTCATTTGGGACATATCATTGAGGAACAGGATGCTACGTTTTCATTGTCTTTGTTCCATTTCACGTCCCCTGCTGTGGTGCGCTGCCTTGCCACAGGCGCAAGCAGTAACCAGTCACCCACGCACCGAAACCTCCAAAATGGCAAACCAAAACAAGCTGTTCTTTCTCTATAATGTTTGTCCTGGGTATTTTCTCACAATGTGGGAAAGCTAACCACTCACCAAGGAGGAGGTGTTGGGTCTTGAGGCAAAACTAGGCATTAACAAGTTGGCTAAGGAGGAAGGCACACCTAGGCAGAGGTTACAGGACATGTAAAGTGTGGAGGAACTGGGTGTGGGAACCACGGGGAGTCTGCACTGGGAGGCTCCAAACTGGTAACACGGGGAGTACCAGCTCAGACCCCAGCAGTATTTTTGAGGGGCCCTCTCATCCTTGGGTCTACAGAAGGATAATGGGAAGCCTTCTGTCTGGCAAGAGAGCAAGGGGTGCCTTGAGTATCAGGAAAAGCTGAGCTGGGGCCAGGTCACCACTGGTCTTGAGATGGGGCTAAGGCACAAGCCACAGGCAGGCAGTGGAGACTTTTAAATAGTAGAATCATGTGGTCAGACGTGGACTTGGAAAAGTCCACTTTTGTGGGTGAGCAGAACAGGGGTACAGAAGGAGGAGAGAGCTCTGGGACGATAGATACTAAGAGCAGTTGCTGTCTCTAACAGTCTAGGTCAGAGAAGGTAGAGTCATAGCCTTGCAAACGGAGCTAGGGTACAGTGGAGAGGCATAGAGGCAGGGTTTCCAGGGCCACTGGTGAGGCTTGCTATGCCATACTCTTACGTGTGGAAATATATCTAGTATCCCCAGTAGATGCCTGGCACTAACTAGGAACCAAACTCCCAATGTGTTCTTTCACCTGATGTTTACTTTATAATAATCAGAGATTCACAGTAATTGTAATGATATACTGTCATAAAAGTTATTTAAAACATTGAGTTATTTATTCCTGGAATTTTCCATGCCGTAATTTTAGACACTGGTCACCCGTGGGTAACTGAAACTGTGGACAGGAGCTAAGAGGGACATCTGCTGTTTAAGAGTCTGGGCAAACATGCACAATATAAATGGTATTTTCCTCTGGGGGTTAGTGATGCAAGCATTGTTCTTTTCTTCTTAATCCTGTGCAAGGCTTTCTGGTACAAACGATAAAGTGACAGGTAGCAGCGTCTGTCATGGTTCATTTTCATTGTCATTGACACTATCTAGACTCATGTGGGAAGAGAGTCTCAGGTTGGCCTGTAAGAATGTCTTTGGGAGATTATATTAACTGAAGTGGGAAGATCCATCTCCTGTGGGTGGCACCATTCCCTAGGCAAGAGGATCCTGATCTGCATCAGAGTGGAGACAGCAGGAGGACTGGCCACAGGCATGAGTGCCTTAGTTGCTCTGGGCCCAGGTGTGCTGGCACACACCTTTAATCCCAGCATGCAGGAGGCCAAGGCAGACAGATCTCTGTGAGTTCAAGGCCAACTTGGTCTACACAGCTAGTTCCAAGCCAGTCAAGGATACATAGTGAGATGCTATCAAAAAAAAATATTGCTCTCTTCTCTTGTCTACTCAAGCCCCTGCCACCCTGTTTCCCTGGTAACTGTGAGCTAAAGCAAACCCCCTTTCCCCTTAGTTGCTTTGGTTAGTATATTTTATCATGACAACAGGAAATGGAACAAGACACTGCCCACAGTCTTTCTCCAGGCCTGGGGCAGGGGCAGGTGTGGGGCTGGAGGACAGGGTATGGAGTAAGAAAGGTAGAGAGGGCAGCTCGCTCCTGAGCAGTGGTCATGGGATGCTCCATACCGTGATCTATGTGGTCGCTAAGGCTGGATCAGTGTACCTAGTAACAAAGAGCCCGAGCTGCAGCATCTTCATGCTTGCATCTACCACAGCACAGGCTTCTTACCTTATGTCGGGGACCGTGCTCAGGCGAGGCAGCACCTTCTCTGGCTCACAGCGGCCCAGCAGGGGCAGGGGGCCACGATTGGCTTGGCAGAAGCTCTCAAAGTCTGGTGCTAGGGATCTGGGTAGGACCACCACACTAGCTGGTTGGAGTCCTGGGTTGGGGGGAGATGGGACAAAGGCACGCTTGGTTAGTACTTACAGACCCTTGTTGGTTCCACTTTGATTGACTTGTTTCTGATGCACACACAAGTATACTTAAGTATGTGGCGTAGCTGTGTATGGTGGAGGAGCACACCTATAATCTTAGCACTCAGGAGGCTGAGGCAGGAGATCACAAGTTTGAGATCAACCTGGGCTACATAGTGAGACCCTGTCTCAACAAACAGTGTATAGCGTAGGACTTTTTACACAATCAACACACCCACCTAGCAAGCACCCAGATTGAGAAACATCATGGTCGGCTCCTTGGAGTCGACACCCTGGCTGCTCCATCCCTGGTACCACTCTCCTAACTTCCAACCCACATATGACCCATCACTGGAATTCATCTAATGGAACCATATACCATATGTATTTTAAGTCCTAATTCTTTTACTAACATCTGTGGATTGGCCCATATTTAGCGGTAGCCTGTTCACGTGCTATGGTGTGTAGTATATTCACACAATGAGAGTTGACTCCTGTCTACTGGGGAGGGACTTTTAACATGGGTTATATCAAATGGCACCTCCACAAGCATTACAGAGCATGCATTTGGGGGTATACATGTGCTCTCCTATTTGGCATTCTCCTAGGCTTACAGTAGAAAAACCCCATCATTTTTACTGGATAGTGCCCAGTAACCTCCCATTATGGCTCTACTGATTGGGATAGCCACCCATGTTGGGCATCTCTGGCATGTGGTGTTGCCCATCTTTTTCATTTTTGTAGTCCTGGTGGTTGTGTCATGGGGGTCACACTGTGGTTGCAATGGGATGTTATTGGTACTTGTCTCATTGCATGAGAAAAGCTACTTGAGAGAGGAGGGACATATTTTTGGTTCATGGTTGCAGGGGATACAGCCATTGTATGGCGAGGGTATGACAGCAAGAGGCAGCTGGTCATGTTGCAGCCACACTCAGGAGGTAGAGAGCAGAGAATGCTGGTATTCAGCTAGCTTTTCCCTTTTTCATCAGTCCTGGGTCCATGGAATGATATCACATCTAGTTAGGACCCTAAAATTTTCCTACCTCAGTAATCTAATCTAGAGAGCCCTTCATAAACATGCTCGGTTTCCATGGTGATTCTAAATATCATCAAGCTGACAGCCAAGATTTACCATGTGTGCCTTGCCCTGGTGACTGACAAGACCCAGTGCCTCTCATCTGTGTTGTTGTCTTTTGGCTAATCTTTTGCAGACATTGACCTTGGTATCTTTTGACTATGCAGATGGATTTCTGAAGAGAGGGCACATAGTCTCAACAGGTGAGTGGGGGAAAATCCGTTTGCATACCGTGAGCTCCTCAGAAGGCAAATGGCTATCCTAGGAATTGGAAAGTTCTCTGGGTTTGGATGTAGATGACCCTGATCTTGAATCTTGACTTTCTTTGTTACCTCAGTGAAGTGGTTTTTCATCTCTTGGCCTCAGTTTCCCCACCTGGAAGCTGGCACTATTCATGCCTACTTCAAAGAGACCTCCGTGAGTTATGCTCTGCCAACATCACATCCACTGATAAAGGAACAATGCCAGTATGCAACAAAACAGTATGTTCGACGTCGTCTCTTTTTTATAAAACTGATGAAAGAACTCGAAGGAATATATCTGCATAATAACTGTCTCCAGGTGTCAAGCCTGCAAGTGACTTTGATGTTCTGTCTTTCTCAGAGTTGTAGAACTAAGACTGTCGTGACTGGGCAGGTTCCCAGAAGTCCGTGAGTTGGAACTTTGGTTCCTCTTCAGTGGTTCTCAACCTTCCTAATGCTGCCACCCTTTAATACAGTTCCTCATGCTGTGGTGACCCCCAACCATAAAATTATTCCATTGCTACTTCATAACTGTAATTCTGCTAACTCGTATGAACTGTAATGTAAATATCTAATATACAGGATATCCAATATGTGCCCAAAGGGGTTGTGACCCACAGGTTGAGAACTGCTGCTCTGTGTGGCAGTGGAAGGTGGAGCCTACTAGGATGTTTTGGGCCATGGCTGCAACCCTCACTGAAGAATTAATGCTGTCTCATGTGAGTTTTTATTCTCAAGGAACTGGCTTAGTTAGCACAAAAGCAGTTGTTGTAAAGTGACTCCACCATTCCTGCTTGCCCTTGGGCATCTAGAGACTTGCCTTCTGCTTTCCACCATGAATTAAAACTGTATGCTTTCTGGTACCAGACACTTGGACTCTCTGGTTTCCCAAACCATGAGCTAACAGAAACCTTTCTTTCATAAGTTACCTACTAGGGCGAATAACCTTGATCACCAACTTGATGGGACACACCATGGAAACAAACTTCTGGGCCCATGTAGACGAGGTTAACTGAGTTGGGAAGACTCACCTTAAATGTGGGTGGTACTGAGAGTCCTGGGCATAACAGGACCATTCCATGGGCTGGGGTTCTGGACTAAATAAAAAGTGGGCAAATCAGCCACATTTATCAGTCTCTGTGTCCTGACTAGGGATGCCATGTGATCATGTGACTCCTGCTCCCGCCCCTGAATCTTCCCACAGCATCACCCCGAACTGTGAGCCAGAGCACACCCCACCTTCCACAAGTTGCTTCTGTTAGGCAATTTGTCACAGTCGTGAGACGGTAACCAACACACCCAGTATCAGAAGTTTTGCTACAATAATTAAGATGGAGACCACACTACAGAGTGGTGTTCTACTGGAGAAGTAACTTCCGGAACAATTTTCCTAACAGCCTAATGTGCTCCATTAACCCTGGGCATTTGTGCTCTACACGAACACTTTTAGCGACATTTACTGTGTGCCTATGGTGTTCCAGGTTGCTCTGTGCTATGTGATTTAAAAACTCTTCATCACGGCGCTGTATCCACTGGATCACTGGCTCTGGGCTTTTCTATGATGGGTCCCGGATTTCCTTGGAGGAGAGGGGTGAAGTAGACATGACCATCTTCTGGGAAAACCGCAGAACTAGCAAGTGGTGAGGTAGTGCTGGCACTCATCACCTCAAAACCCACAGTGTCTGCCAAAGTCACCAACAGGTTTTCCACGGGAGGATTCATAGGGCACTCCAGTGGGCTAGAATTAGAGGTGCTGTTGCACTTTTCAAGTGGGAATAGCTTGGCTCCACAGTGACCTGCACCTGTGGTGAGGTGAAGGCGAAGCAGCCAGCTTAAAGACCTCCCCAGTCTCTCCACTGCCTCTTCCCTCCAAAGCCTATTGTGAGGACAAATTGGATTTTTAATGCAATAAATCAGGGAGGCATCAGGGACACAATGCTTCTTTGTTTCCTTTTTAATTAAATGCACTTCAGGAGCTGTGTTTAGGTTTTGTTCATCTCCACTGAGGGAGATGAATAGAAAAGCCCTGAGTTGTCCCCATTAGCAACACAATGTGGAGTAGAGGCCTTGAGGTCCCTCTTTGAAGGGTTAGACCACACTTCTAGGTGTGGTGCTTCTTGAAGGCCCAGTGTGATTCATGCATCCCTGGGGCTCTCAGGTTCCATTTAAGGTCATGACACTTTCTCTTTGTGGAGAGAAACTGAGTGATTTATTCTGAGTCCCTTAACCAAAAATCAATTTTTTTTTTTAAACCAGAGGAAGAAAGAGGGAGAAAAACCTTTAGGACTCCCAGTCAGATTCACAGCCTTGAACATTCAGCTCTAGGCTGGCGATTTCCAGCTAGTCCCTTTTTCCTGACAGATCATCCTACAGCAGCAGCTGGCTTGGAGGGAATTTTCCAGCCCACAAAGCTCTCCAGAAGGCTCCTGTGGAGGAGCCTGTCCCCATATTTTATTTTGGAAACAAGCCTGGGAAGGTTGCACAGTTTACTCATAGTGTGACTCTATGAGGAGCAAATCTGGAAATCACACTCATTGTCCACCCTGGAGGCACACAGCCTGGGCTGTTCAGACCCACTGCCTCCTTGAGGTTCCAGGAGCCAGTCGCTGTCTGGGATGAAACTCCTATGTGCTGAAGGTGTACAACGGCTTTGCTAGACCTTGGGAGTCTTCTATATAAATGTTGCTTCCTGCCATTCATGTACTAATGGGCCACCTTCATTGGTTCAGGCTTTGGCCATGTGACTCATTTTGGTTGAGAGGACATTAGTCTGTGGTGTGAACAGCCTTGAGCCTTGGCTTGCATATATCTTAGAGGACTGCTTTCTCTTGGCATCCCGAGCTACCAAAGAAAGAAGTCTGGCCACCATGTTGGAGAGTGCTCTAGTTTGCCTTTCTCTTGTTGTGACAAACTCTATGACCAAAAGCAACTTGAGGAGGAAAGGGCTTAATTTGTCTTACACTTCCAGGTTACAATTCATCATTCAGGGAAGGTCAGGTGTAAGCTGAGTCCTGCCGCTATTGAGTCTCAAATAAACACACAAAGTCTTATATTAATTATGAAACTACTGGCCGATGACTAGGGCTTCTTATTGGCTACCTCTGTCTTAATTATTAACCCATCTCTATTAATCTAAGTATTTCCATGTGGTCTTATCTTACCAGAGAAGGGTCTGGACCTCTAACTCCTTTGGCAGCTCACACGGTAACTGCTAACGATCTCCACAGAGAAGAGAGCGATTTCCTGTTTGTCCCTGCTTATATCCTGATTCTGCCTAGCTACATCACTTGCTGTCTGGTCAATCAGCCAATCAGTGTTTTATTCATTAACCAATAAGAGAAACATATATAGAAGAACATTCCCCATCAAGAAAGATATCACCACAGCCAAGGTGGGAACCCAAGTTAAGAACTGGAGCAGAAACTGTGGAGGAATGGCACTTACTTGGTTTGTGCTCAGCTAGTTTTCTCAGATAGTCCAGATCCACCCACCTACCTAGGAATGGAGCTGCCCACAGTGGGCTGAGATCTCTTAAATCAATTAGCAATCAAGAAAATGCTGCCACAGGCAAATCTGATTGAGACAATTACTCAGTTAAGGTTTCCCTCTTCCCAAGTGACTCTCAGCTTGTCAAGCTAACAATGGAAACTAACCAGCAGAGAGGCTCCACAAGAAGAAATTTTAGGCTTTCTAGTCCAGTCATTGGAATATGAGGGAGAAGGTATCTTGGATGGTCCAGCCATGGTGCAGGCAGAGAAACTACATCGCCAAGCATAGTTGTAGACTTGTGAAAATTATGCTTCTGAACTATTACCCTTTAGGGTGTTTAGTTGTGCAATAATAGGTAGCCATTCCTCCACATATAATGATAGCGGCCTAGCATAGCTTTCTGCTAAATCAGAACTCTTACTTTAAGCACATTAAGCAGGCTAATGGTTTTTCCTTTGGTGTTTGTACCATAACCAGAGAAGTCTATAGACTATTTTTTTTTTTTTTTTGTGGTGTGAGGAATAAAACCCAGGGCCCTAAGCATAGTAGGCAAGTTCTCTACCACACTGAGCTATAGCCTAAGTCCTTACGTGTTTGTTTGTATTGTGAAATATTGGTGGGAATGAGGTCAGTGATATATTACATGCCTGCATGTATGTGCATTTGTGTGTGTGTGTGTGTGTGTGTGTGTGTGTGTGTGTGTGTGTGTGTGTTTCAGGACCTTTGGGAGTTCTGGGTGTCATGCCTATAAGACAGTGGCAAGATAAGTGCTGCACAGAGAATAATGCCAACCCACAGGGTCTGGATCAAGATCAGCTTAGAAGGCACTGTGGTCTGTGGCACTTTTTCCATGGGTGGGAGAAAGCTTATTTTTAAGTTTATTTTTGAGATAGGGTCTCACTAAATAGTCCAGCCTGGTCTGGAACTCACTATGAAGCCAAGGCTGGCCTCAAACTCTCAGCAGTCTTCCCACCAAGTATCCAAAATGCTGGGATTACAAGCATGAGCCACCATGCCTAGCATAAAAACTTACTTTTATGGACTAAGTCTGTGTGCAGTTTTCCATATGGAGTTGGGTAAGCAAGCAGAACTGGATAGCCCTAGACCCCCTCCATGAGGTTTCTACAACTCATTCTGGGAAGCTAAATAGTGATTAGCTGTTTTTCTGATTGATGTGCGAATACACACACACACACACACACACACACACACACACACACACACACACACACAGAGCCAGGCATGGTAGTACACTTGTAATCTCAGCACTCAGGAGGTGGAGTCCGGAGGATCAGGACTCCAGGGTTATTCTCAGCTACACGATGAGTTTGAATACATCCTGGGCTAGTTCCATGAAACCCTGTCTTAATAAAACCAACCAACCAACCACTCAGCCAAACGTTCCGCTTACCTTCAGTCATGCTGGATGTGTTTCTGATGTGCGCTGCCTTTGGTAGACTCCTTATGGCAGAGGGAAGATGGGACCTTAGGAGAAGTGAGAAGGGCACCATACCATCCCCGGTGGACTGCAGGGAACCTAAACAATGGAGGAAAGGAGACCTAGAGACAGTTTCCCTATAGGCACAGAGTTGGTGTTGGGTGCTGTGCCCTGGACAATCTATGACCAAGCCCTGTTGAGGGTGAGTTCTTCCCCCATCTGGTCTCAGTGTCCAGTGAGCAAACTTGAATACCTGTGACTAATGCATTCTCTTCTTCTGATCTGCAGTGTCTTCTATCCTGCCCTGAGCACTTTGTATTCCACAGAAGCAGCTCAGAACCCGAGTCTCTACAGAGCAGCCAATAGGCTTGGACAGGCCCTTCTTGCTCTCAGAACATTCTTTGAACTACTCTCATGGGGCTGGGGCCACAGCAGCATAACCTTCTACTTGACTTTGAACTCCATTCTCTCCCCAGTACGTGGCAGACAGAGACACCTCTTAGAGTCCTTCCACGGGCTCCAGAGCACCCATGACAACCCAAGTACGCAGTGCATCCCAAAAATCTCTCTGTGGACCAAGTAAATAAGAGAATGGCATTTACAATTGCCCAATTAGTTATCACCTATGACTTTTGCTGTTTAGATTGGAGGTTTTCGAAGGTATGCCTCCCTCTATCCACAGGGATTTATTTCGGATTTGGTAAAGGAATAAAGGTTGTAAAATTTAAATATAGAATATGTTTTAAAATTACAATGAGAAGTTTAAAACTTGGGACTTGGCAATTCCTCAGTTGGCAGAGAGCTTGCTGCGCAAGCATGAGGTCCTGAGTTTGGATCTCCAGCGCCCATATATAAAGTGTGCTGGAAAGTGTGTGTAGGGTGGGAGGAGGAACCCTCTAACTGATTGGTTAGCCAGTCTAACCATTCAGTGAGCTCCAGGTCCAGTGAGAGACCTTGTCTAGGAAAACAAGGTTGAGAATGATTGAGGAAGACTCTCAACCTCTGGTCTCAATGCATACAAGCATACACACCCCCCACACAAGTGTGAATACATGTGAACACATATATCACATACAAAGTTTAAAAATTATTTTAAAAAACAGAAATGGTCTCAAAGCTATAGGAAATGATGTCTAGAAAGAAATCTGATAAGTTGATTTCTTATGTGGCTAGCTCATAGCACTGACCTCTGACCCATGATCTTTGTATTCAGATAGGCCAAGTACCTGGCATAAGATCACAAAGGCTGATTGCAGAATGGAAGAACGCAGGGCTTTGGAGAGGTGTTAGAGTGAAGAATTTAGATAAGCCTGGTTTTCCACAAGTATTTCTATCACAAGAGATATACTCAGTGGGATTCAAAACTACCAATTTGTGTTTTCAACTCTAGCCAGTCTCCCAGGTAGAAAACCATGTTCAGTAAGCTTCAGGTCTAATTTAAGAAAGATTTAGGTTTGTATAGCATCCCAAACAAACAACAAAAGAACAAGATTGCTCTAGGAAGAGGAGAGCTGCATTTAAAACCGACTTGAGTGCTTTGATTTAACAGCTGCAAACAAAGAAGGCACAGAGGAGAGAACAGCTAGTTCTGGCTGGGGTGGGGAGCCCACAGGGTCAGGTGAGGTTGGATTCCAGGCCCCAGTGCAAGGCAAAGCTGAGGCCTAAGGCAGCTGCCTTGGCAGGTTGAACCGCTGATTGTCTCCTAGGCTGGCAGGCCAGACTCCAGCCCAAGTAGCCAGTCAGCAGCTGACGTTCTAGATGTCTGTGGTTCCCAGTCACTGCAGAGCATTTAGCACTTCCATCTGGCTCTCAGTAAAGGCCAAAGACAGAACTATTCTGCAGCCACATGGGAGATGGCAGCCCAGCCACAGCCTCTGCCCTCAGCTCCACGAGGAGCTGGAGGACCAAAGACTGTGTAACAAACCCCACTGAAGTGAGACACCCATGGGACATGACAACAAGTGAAAGCTGGGTTAGAAATCAGTTAGAGCTTTAGTCCAGCTCCTGGGGGATGTTGCCTTCCTTCTCTTTATCTGTTGTGTAAATAGAAATACAAGCAGATCCCCAGTTGATCTCCCAACTCAGAAATAAATATGGGTAGGTAGAACCTGTCCCGTGAAAAGCATCCTGCAGGTGTGCCACGTGCATGCTTGGCTGGAAGGAAGAACGCAGTGTCCTATCTAGTATCCAACTTCCTATCTGATGGGTTATTCCCTGAACAGGGTTTAAACAGCCAGAGACTGTCTACTCACAACAAAAGATAGCAGCTGCCATAATTTCTGGGCACTCATGGTGTGCTAGACCATCTATTGGCTATTTACAATAGACCTCGAAGAAAGGTACTGTTAAACTCAATGCAGACAAGGAAACAGAGGCTAATGGAGGTCCAAGAAGTTACATAAAGTCCCATAGTTAGAGACCTAATGGGTAGAGACCTAATCCAAACCAGACTTAAGTTCATGAGTTATTGGTAACTACCTACCCACATCTATGTATTTATACATCTGTGTAATCATTCACCCATCCACCCATCATCCATCCATCCATCCATCCATCAATCCATATATTCATTCTATATGGTACTAAGAATCTGTGTATCTTAGCAATAGCATAGACCATTCCCTTATTAACCACAATACGATTGTAGGACCAAAGTCCATATGTTTCTCCAACAACTGAATACCAAACTCTTGGCTCTCCATCATGACCTCTGGTGAACCCACTGCTGGGTGTCCCAGGTGTCTCCTTCCTCAGTATCTTCCTCTAGAAGTGAGAGAAGACAAGATCCAGTCAAGAACTCTCTCTTTTGAAGAACAAATCATCAAATCCACAAATATTATTCCTTGGCATCAAAGATGCCAATAATGGGTCCCAAAGACAATCATCCTCTCAGCAGGGCTTGACACACCCAGCCTCCAGAGTAAAAATATCTGGTCCACCCCCATTGTAGATGTCTGAAATTCCACCTTCACAGAGCCACTCCTTTGCTTTATTCAAGCAATTCAATTCTCGGAATGCATACTAAGATATTTTCAAATAGCAAACAAAATCCCAGAGTACATGGCAGTGGTGTTTGTCATATAAATAATTTAGAGACAACTAAGTAGAAGTTAATTGAACATACCCAGGACTGGTTATATTGGAGATTATGTAAGCATTTGTCCTAGTCTTTTTTTCTGATATAACAAAATACCCCAAACCGAATAGCTTATTTAAAAAGATGTAAGTTTAGAAGTCAGGCATGATGGCATATATCTTTAGTCTCAGTATTTAGGAGGCTGAGGCAGGAGGGTTGCCAATTCAAGGCTAGACTAGGCTACATAATAAGTTTGGCTATGTAGCAAGATCTTTCTCTACCTCTCAAAAAAAAGAAGAAAGAAAAAAGCAAAGAAAATTGAAATCTAAGCTTATTTGTCTGGAAGCCCAGGACCTTGTAATAGCATCTGCTGAGGACTTTCTTAATGCACTCTGACAGGAGAGAGGGCATCACCTGGTGGGGCAGAGATGTGGTGAGACAGAGAACATGTGCTAGCTCAGGTCTCTTTTCCTTTTCTTGTGAAGTCACTAATGCTACCACGGTAGCCTAATTACACCAGAAAGATCCTATCTTCAGATACCATTAACTTACAATCTGGGAGATTAAATTTTCAGTTTGTCAACATTGGAGGGTAATGTGGTTTCATTTTGTTGCTGTGATATAATTCCCTGAAAAGAAGCAATTTAGGGAAAGAAACTGGCTTATAATTCCAGTTAATAGTTCATTACTGCTGGTAGATCACAGAGGCAAGAGCTTGAGACATCTGGTCAACCATGTCCACAGTCAAGAGCAGAGAGGAATGAATGCACTTATGCTGCTTACTTGCTATTCAGCTAGCTTTCTTCATTTGTACAGTTTGGGGTCCAGCCTAGGGAATAGTTCCATCCACAGTGAACTGGATCAATTAAAGATCAAGGCAACCTCCTACAGACATGCCCACAGTCCAGTCTTCTCTAGATAACTCTCCAGCTGGGATGCTTCCCAGTTGGTTCTAAACAAATTGACATTTAAAACTAACCAGCAGCTAGTCATGGCGGCACATGCCTTTAATACCAACACTGGGAAACAGAAGCAAGTGGATTTCTGAGTTCAAGGCCAGAATGCTCTACAGAGTAAGTTACAGGACAGCCATGGCTATACAGAGGAACCTTGTCTCTAAACAAATCTTTAAAAATAATAAGGAAAAAACAAATACACAACTAACCAGCATAGGGCACATATTCAAACCATATCAAGACCAGGAAATGCAAGTCACTTAACTATTTTTAAAATGAACTAGCTCTTTAAAATTTTTTATCTTTTGTTTTTTTATTTATTTGTGCACACACATACATGCACATGGATTGACTCAGATTGTTGGACATGACAACAAACATCTTTAGCTTCAGAGCTATCTTGAGTGTCCTAAAATGAGCATCTCTTTGTGCCTCAATGGAAACAATCTCCCCAACATATGAAGGAAACAAGGCTGGGGATTCTCTCTGTACAAGTATACCACCCATAATCCAATCCATGGAGACCAACTCTGGAAGGGTGGACATGGAGGTGGTGGAGAAGGAGCTTAAAGTGGGAGTCTTACGTGTGGAGAGGGTGATGTGTTTCCCTGCATCCCTGGGTCTGTCCTGACCTCTATCCACTCTTAAGCCTCCTTCCTCAACTGACTCCAGGGATCTAGGGATTCTCAAGAGGGCCTTCCCTACTCATCAAAAGTCTCACAATCCACCATGAATCCAGATCTTTTTACTCTGTCCTCTCACAACTGTGCTGGCTGAGATAGTTCCACTGTTCTCTCAGAGAGTATGCCCTGCCTCTCCATCTCTGTGCTAGTTGAGGGGTGTTTGGAACATTGAGGAAGGGACCAAGGGGGTGACTATCTTAGTCAATTCTATTGCTGCGAAGAGACACAATGGCCACAGCAAAACATTTAATTGGGGCTTACTTACGGTTTCAGGGGCTTAGTCCATTATTATCATAATGGAAAGCATGGTAGCACACAAGCAGACATGGTGCTGGAGAAGTAGCTGAGAGTTCTACATCTGGATCCACAGGCAGAAAAGAGAGA